AGGATGTCGGTTTTTGGGGTACACCTGTAAAGATGGCAACTTACAAGAAGACGAGACTATACTGAAATTCCACTTCACACACCTTAGAACATACAGCCTAGAGTATAGTATTTAAGTGTTCCTGGATTATTATTAAAAATACTTTTGTGTGTGCATTGGGGGGGGGGGGGACACCAGTTGAATTGGAACATAACCCACATTTTCTCATTGCCATCACTGGATATATTACAGTGCTACCAATCACTTGGTATGGCATTTTTTTTAACATATTACTGTACTGTATACTATAATGACAGTTTACTGTAGTATTTAATTTCTTTAGAGATCCTCAAGAGAATTATCAGATGTGAATATTTCCCACTGCCCATGAAAACAGATTAACATTTAGTAAATAGAAGTTATACTGTAATTATGTAGTGTTAGCATTTATCTTAGGTAGCACAAAAGTACTCTATACAGTATTCATTAAACACATCAAGATTACTGTATTTACCTCCACACACACACACTTAAGATAATTTGTGAATGTAGGTTTAACACCTGGGTAGAAGTAAGCATTGTGTCGAGTATTTGTAACTTACTGTTACAACAGCATCTGGAAGATAATGCATTTATCAATACATTCTCTCTCAAGAAATATACTTATGCAAACCATAAACTAACACTGTAAGAAGTCAGTCCCCATACCAAGCTGGGCTCTAAATAATACTGGGTTGCCTGTAAAATTCCCATTTTTCTGGTATGTACAGTAATGGCAAAATGAGGAGTCCGAATGCAAAACAACAATCCAGTAAGCATTTGTCATTCTAACCAAACCTAACCTAGATCAAATTTGGTCAAGATAAAACTATAAATACTTACCTTATTATTTTTACGTCTGTATTCCTCATTGAGCTGTTGGCAACAGGGCTATTTCCTATTGTTCCCAATATTTACTAGAACCAACCAGTGAAAAGTACAGTAGATGCTCCTGAGGCAAGTAATATGCCTTGGATCTTACATCTCTGATAAGTTCTTAATACTGTACTTATCAAAAGATTGCAAAGCTCACCCGCTCAACAAGTGTAACCCTTTGGACAAGACGTTTACATGTGAAACAAGCACCACTTAGAGAAGCGTACACCTTTAAAAATAATTTGTTTCCAGTACTGTATAGTATTCCAAATGATTTTACAATTTTGTCACCGACTCCTTAAATTTTTTTGGTTTTGGAACTCACATTAATTTAATTTCAATTATGTTTCACAAAAGTTCTGGAGTCACCTCTTGAAATTACAGTATTACTTGTTTTTACTGACGTTATTGTGTGCTTTGGTGAGCAATACACTGTATAAAGGTTATCTATATCCAGAGTCATCTTTTTTTAAATGGAATTCAATATACTATAGAACAAACAGTGAGGCAAATATGAAGGACTGATCCTGAAATCCCACTTTATACCTAAGCACAGTTTCCAAATTCTGATACAGTATGTGTTACTGGGACTAATAAAAAAAAATTAATCCGAACAATAGTCATCTTTCCCAGTACAGTACAATACAACTCCAATTCCTCAAAAACTGAGGCCTCATCAGTTGGGATTCAAGCCGAAAATCAAGGGTCTTCACCACCATGCCGACACAAATGCATTCCAGTCTACATTTTGTCAAGGGTTACAAAATAGACAACACAACTAGTCCCCTCAATTCAAGCTCATCTCAGCATCCCAAATAGAGGAAGGGAGAATTGAATCACCAAACCCACATTTGGTTACAAAAAGGGATTTCAGGGTTATTCCCTCGTTTAGTTATGGCTTAAGACATGAATGGGGCAACTCATGCACGTACAGACAGCTAATACAGAAGGGAAGACAATAGTCAACAGAGCTCCATGAGTTAGCACCATCTGACTTCTACACAGGAGTCAGACAAAATAAATCTCCTTATATGGTCCCACTCCACGCAGTTATCTCAACTTTCTTCAGACCATATGCTAAGGAGGTAAAGCCAACAGAAAATAAATCATAGTGACATATTTAAAATATATTTTATTTACCCTTGTATCAAGATATCACTTCAAGAACAATTACAGATACCCATTTAAAAATTCTATCCCAAGTTTTCAAAGCATGTTACTGGAAACAAACTCTTTTTCAATGACAAATATAAGTTACAATGGAAAAAGAGCACTGTTTAGTTTCTTTCTCCATAATAATCCATTAAAATATTTATTTGCTTAACAAACCATATGATATTCTGTCTATCCTAGAGTTGATTTCTATGAACATAAGAAATAATTTGTTGTTTCAACAAGCTGTAAGACTATACTGTACTATACAGTAGTAGCTATTGTCACTCATGAAAGATAACAAGAACCAAACTACCGGAGCTGAGTTTAACGATCTAGGGCTATTTTAATTTACAATATGTTAGGTGAGCCAAATAAGTTATATTTCATAAATGATTATGGTAATGACAGTCTTAATGATCCCTGAATGTTAACAATGGATGAATTCTGATATTGGCAATCATATTTAACAATTTCTAAGTACTGTACAGGTACAACAGCATGACAAATTCAAATTATTGCATCTGTTCACAGAAATCAACTCTAACATACACAAGGAGTATTTTGGAAGAGAATTTGTTTAATACGTTACCAAAAAGAAAGCTACTAAACTATGCCATGACACACACTGTCATTAAAGACAGAGAAACTTTATATATATATCCTCGATAATCACGGGACCCGATAATCGCTGATCTGGCTTAGCACAGTTTCCTCAAGTGCGACCATGTGTACGCTTATCACTGATTGATCTGGGTTATCGCGGAAGAATCATGGGACAACGGCGGGTCTGTAAGAGCTTGCAGTAGCAGTGACTGCCAAGAGATGGCAGCACGGCTCGTGGCGCCAGCTTTTGTTTCTCCACTCTGTTTTGGTTGGTGTTAGAAGACGGTTTACTGCTCCGTGCTTGTTTTTTTTGTGCAAGTTTTGTAACTTTTACTTACCCTTCACCACGGCACCAGTGAACAAGAAGTGTGTTAAGGTTGCTGAACCAGCCAAGCGACGAAGACGCGTGTATTCTCTGGCTTAATGTTCTGATGTTCCCTACAAGGATAAGCATGCACTTGGCAACACACCCACTGTTACCACTTCCTTCCACTCCACCTCTCTAATCACCCCACCTTTCTGTTTTCTCACTCCATAATCTAGAATATATGTAATGTAATATTGAAGGAATACGACGTTGTTCATTTATACTTGCACTCAATTTTGTGGGTAGACATCAGCTGTTCAGTTGTGGCAGCAGCCAGTGTTACCAAACAAACAGATTGACACATCATCTCACCACTTACCACAATCTCCCCCTCCACCACCAGCTCCATGATCACCACCGCTCCCTCTATTATCACCACCGCTCCCTCTATTATCACCACCGCCCCCTCTATTATCACCACCACTACCTCTATTATCACCACCACTCCCTCTATTATCACCACCACTCCCTCTATTATCACCACCGCCCCCATTATCACCACACCGCCCTCTATTATCACCACCGGCCCTCTATCACCCACCGCCTCCCCCACATCACCACCGCCCCCACATCACCACCGCCCCCACATCACCACACCGCCTCTATTATCACCACCGGCCTCCCCATTATCACCACCGCCCCCATCACCAATCACCTCTATTATCACCACACCAGACATCACCACCGCCTCCCCATTATCACCACCCCACATCACCACCACTCCACATCACCACCACCCCCACATCACCACCAATTCTAATATCACCACCATCTCCATTACTCACCACCAATTCTATTATCACCACACCACCCACATCACCACCACTCTATTATCACCACTCTATCACCACCAATTCTCTATTATCACCACCACCCCCATTATCACCACCACTCTCTATTATCACCACCACTCCCCACATCAACACCCACCCCCACATCACCACCACTCCCCACATCACCACCACTCTACATCACCACCACTCTCCACATCACCACCCACTCCCCATATCACCTCACCACTTCATTATCACCACCACCCTCTATTATCACCACCACTCTATTATCACCACCACCCCCACATCACCACCAATTCTCTATTATCACCACCAATTCTCTATTATCACCACCAATTCTCCATTATCACCACCTCACCTCTCTATTATCACCATGCACCACTCCTCTATTATCACCACCAATTCTATTATCACCACCACTAATTCTCTTATTATCACCACCACCTCTATTATCACCACCACTCCCTCTATTATCACCACCACTCCCTCTATTATCACCACCACTCCCTCTATTATCACCACCACTCCCTCTATTATCACCACCACTACCTCTATTATCACCACCACTCCCTCTATTATCACCACCACTCCCTCTATTATCACCACCACTCCCTCTATTATCACCACCACTCCCTCTATTATCACCACCATTACCTCTATTATCACCACCTAAATCATAATTGCAGTGATGGATTTGCTTTAGCCTGAGGAGATTAGCACGATGTTCACTGTACCATATACCACCCACCTCCCATCGTCCTCCCACTGTATCTCACTAACACTGTGACTCTCATTGTAATATGACTGGCATTTGTGATACAATATTGTGCAGTACTGTGAATTGTTTGTGTTATTCATTAATTAGTAAATATGTCTTACTACTGTACTATTATATCTTTTAGTGCACCTACACATTTTTGGGGCTATATTTTGGTCAGTTAGATGATGCATATTTGGGGTTGTGGGACGAAACTGATGTTTCCCATATATTATGTGTTTTGATATGTACGGTTTTGCTTATCGAAATAGTTTTCTGGAACCTAACACGAGGATACAAGTACATAAAACACTGTACACAGTACAATTTGAAAAAAACTTAAAAAGTACTTGAGTAGCAGGTGCTATGACTGCTGGCCATCAAGGACAAGGACTACAAGATCAACTAGGTACACTGTGGGTCATGTTACCTCACTCAAGGTACGCAGATCCCCACCAATGATGAGCCCTCGATCTTTCACTCCTGAAATAAATAAACACCCCATTATCCACAACTTTTTTTTAATCACCTGGTAATAAGTCTGCAAAGCAGAGTACTGTACTGTACTATGTAAGGTTATTTATCCTAACTGAAAAAATGTAAGATCAGAAACCATGAAGATTGGGGCACCACTAAACAATTGTACAGTAGCAGGATTGTTTATACGGTACAGTATATAAAAAAAAATTACCTCGTGAAAATTAGGAATCTCAGTTTATTAACACCTAATGTTAACCTAACCCAAATAAACCAAATCTCCCCCAATATAGCATTATGGTGTTTAATCATCAGGTGAAACAAGTGGAGTTAGTTCCTATTGTCTAAATATATATATACACTATACAAAAGTGTGAGTTTTGTGGTGCTGAGAAAAAAAGAGACCCCCATTTTAGATTTTCTATGGGGTAAAATCATAAAAAGTAGTAATTTGCAATAAAATTAAAGAACGGAATCATTCAAAACACATCAAAAACCACCGGAGAAACATAATACCAAACTAACCCAAACTACCTGGTAAAACTTGGGGTATTATTACCGTTTCTGTCACCCAGTGATTTTTAGGATTTTATGTTTTGGAATCAGTAGTTAGAAAATTAAAGGACATTTTTTTCCATAGCATTTCTTCCACTCATGATTACTTTAAGAGAAAAATCGCAATAAATGGTCAGATAATCTTCATATTTTGTCTAAGTAAGTTCTTGTTTATGTTAAAACTGTCAAGAGAGCTTCTGTGTGTTTGTTTGTTGGCTAGTATGCTGTATTCCACATGCGCTAGAGCCTCACACATGCGCAGTTGTTCTTTGAACTTTGATTGGTGGGTATGATTTTTGGATCAACCAATCACAGCTCGGTAAAGGCCCCCACTGCTACCCACTTGAATTTGAATTTAGTTCCAAGATGTCTTCATTATGCAATGGCTGTGATGTTGATTATTTCCAAGCCATCACCAGAATTCTTTAGATTATTATGGCATGGACAGAGAAGCATGGAAATTCTCCAACTGAGGTTACTTGTAAGAAGTGTAACCAGCCTTGTAGCTATAAAGCTGACAAACACCGTCTGTGGAGGGATCTCAAGGAGAGGGTGAAGCGACCTGGCAACAAGTCTGCTACTTCAAGCAGTACTTGGCGCTGCACTTGTTTACCACACAGTCCAGTGTGGAGGACCCCGATGACCCCAACTCCGAGTCTTCTGAGTCTAATTAAGTTAAGCACACAGGTGGACAGGTTAGGTTAAGGGTTCCAAAACTTAAAATCATAAAAATCGCTGGATGACCAAAACAATAATTTTACCCAAATTGGTCAAAAGCACTGCTTCTCAAATGCAATGCAATGCAATGCAACCAAACCTAACCTAACCTTCCCTACTGCATGGACCCAATCGGCTAACCTGTATCCATATGGCATAAATTTATCCGCAAATACCCAACTGCATGCACCCTGTTGGCTAACCTATGCAACATAGTAACCAGCAAATGAACACAGGAGCTCTCTCAGACGGTGGTACAGAAACTCGAAATCCTAAAATTGCCTCGATGACCGAAACATTAACAATACCCATGAAGCCCTTGTGAACATTCAACAAGACTGGGAACTTTATATACCCTCACCAGATACAGTTCTGTTACCCAGTATAATATAATTTCTCATTCATAAAATTAACCAGACAAGCCAACTAAAACTTAATGATACAATTTTGTTTGGGTGGATTACGTGCATTAAAACAAAACTTTTAAGAAAATTTTAAAGTCTGAGTTAACGAAGTATTTGCCAAAAACAGTGAAGTACTTGTTTGTCCAAAAATAAATTTCAGGCCATGTAAAATTTATTGTGGATATGTATACTTTTTGTTTAGTTTACTAAAGAATTTACTGTAGTAAAACTGCAAACAATCAAGTCTTGCAAGGCTTCCTTTAATGGTCACAAACATCTGGAACCGTTCATAGACAATCAGAGAACCAGACTCTTGGCAGTCAGTGACAACATTTTATGCTCAGGAATACTTCTTTATGAACGACGCTAAGGTAGAAACAACATGGATAGTGATGCGGAGGATATCCCATTCCCATCCCGCCCTAAACTACAACCTTTACAGTGGGTCCAGGGAGTGATGGGTTAAGACCACCGGTGGGGCCATTAATAGGGGGGTGAGGAAAGGAAGCTCCCCAACATTCCTCACACACAACACCACAAACCTCCACACTCTCCACAACACACCACACCTCCACCATACTTTTCTTTCACTAAATTACCTAGCCTGCTATCTTCTGCATCTTTTGTCGCTTATATATTGCGAGGACATAGTAAATAAGTCATTAAAATATGGAAATATGTGAGGGACTAACCTTGCTGGGCGGTCAGGTTGAGTGTAGTGTAGTAATGGCAACTTCACTTCTAGAATTCCACTTCCAAACACAACTCAATTTACTCCTGTTTCCAACTAACTATAAAATTAATCCTTGGTTATATTTATTTTTAATCTAATTCTTGCATCAAGTTTTTATTCTTGTTTTTTTAATTACTGTAATTTAATTTTTTCACTAAAATATAACCGCTGAAAATATATTTGCTGGTGATTTATAGTAAATATTTGACGCATGCGCACCATCAGTAGTTGCCTGCAGCCCATAGATGGCAGGAAGAAGAGACCTTTACTGTATATACTGTATGTCTAGGAAACTTAGGATTTAATTATGATAAAGTAACATGCAGTGGCGTAGCTAGAGTGTTGCCCGGCGGCCTCCTTCAGTTTGCCCCCCCGTGTCCCCAAAAAAATACATATTGCACAGTGACTCACTCTATATATATATATATATATATATATATATATATATATATATATATATATATATATATATATATATATATATATATATATATTAAATAGTTGTGTACCATTATAATATTACTGTACTTTCACATACTCAAATATAGTATGCTTTAAATACACACCAAACATACTTAAACTTTATAAGTAACAGTTAAAAAAAGCAAAACAACATATAGGATAGGGAAAAAAGTAAAAAAGTGTAAAAATTAGGACCATCTTTATTTCTGAAATGAAAACTACAACTTTCTACTAAGTAACTTTTCTTGTTTTTTGTTGGCAAATTCTTCAATGACATTGTCAAAAACTATTTCATCTGTCAATTGTCGCTCTATAGACAGTATGACAAGATTTCTCAACCGCAAGGTGCTCATAGTAGATCTTAAGTAATTCTTGATCCGTTTTAGTTTCGAAAAACTCCTCTCACAGGTAGCAACACTAACAGCAATTGTGGAGAAAATCCTCAGCATTATTACTATATTTGGCCGAGTTCCCAAGGTTATACTTTTGAATAAACTGCAAAAGTTCAAGGGGCCTTCTTCCACGTCTGTATTCTGTCTTTAATAGTTATAGCAGCAACAGCAACAAAATGCTGAAGTCTTTTCTTCTCAACGAGGAACTCCTCTTTATCAATGTCGTCGTGATCGTGATCTATTTGACACCATATTTATCATCCAAAAGATTCAAAGGGGTAAGGAAGGCATATTTCTCAGCAAGTTCATGAAGCTGTTGAAATCTCAAAGTTATTTCTTGGATCACTCTGTCCAGCGAAGAAAACATTTCTCTCCTCAATTCAATGTCGTATGGCAATTCAGCATCTCGTGATCCTTCACCCAAAAGTGCCGCCCCAAAAGTTGCCCAAGTGGACTGTTCCCCGCCCCTAGCTACGCTAGTGTAACATGCTTTTGGGGGAGGAGGCACACAAATTAACCTTTTAACCTACCATAAGAGAGTTATCACCGATGCCTTCCTCTTAACATGCCTGTAGCTAAGTGTAAAATATGACTATACAAACTTTTCCAATTTGTGGATTTACGTTTCCATTATTCACCACTATCAGTATGCTAACTGATCTCGTCATCTCAGTTACAAACTTTTGGCAAGTCTCAGCATGTTCTGGCTCTTTACGGGCATGTTCTGGCTCTTTACGGGCATGTTCTGGCTCTTTACCTGATTATATGTCAGTATTGGTCAAGCCAAGGATTCTGCCACAGGAAAAAGATAGCTCACTCAAGGCAAAATTGTGGATCCTCCTGATGATAGCGTCGCATAACGGGTGAACAGTAAGAACACCAAGTCCATATATTAATTAAAACAATTTATATGAAGTCAGTAGATTATTGACATCCAACTTTATATATTTAGGGATAATTTGTCAAAGCAACACATTGATTATTTTGCAGTACGATATAATTATTTGCCAACGTAATTCCTTGCCTGATAATATTTTTTTTTACCTTTTAGCCGCCTGGAGCTCCACTGTATCTACGGCTCTGTGGTGAACGTTGTCGCCCATTGGAGTGGGCCATTGGAGTGAGCCATTGGAGTGGGCCATTGGAGTGGTCCATTGGAGTGGGCCATCCTTCTCTTGTCTCAGAACCCTTAATAACACCCTTCTCGCGTGTGTCCCGCCCATGGACTCGAACCCCTGACACACGCACACTATCGCTGCACCAATATGTATTATATGTCGATTATAATAAATAAATGTGTGCCTGTTTATCTATCTACAGATATGCAACAAATGAATAACAATTTAACCTTCAAGTGGTACTCGTATTGAAATTAATACTTGAATAAGTTGGTTGTTGGTTGTTTATGAAAGTTGAGAAAATATGTTATAAGAGGCTATAAATGAACTTAGGGGTTTTTTTTAATTAAATATTCTATGATGAATATGAAATCCACCAATGAGATATATGCGATATTACATTGAGAATGGATCAGTGTTTGTTGTTAACTCTAGATGTAAACAAAAGGGAAGGAGTCAGTCAGCTGGTGGTGGGGATACATGATACATCACCTGTACGGGATACATGATACATCACCTGTACGGGATACATGATACATCACCTGTACGTACATGGATTAACTACTGAAATGTCTTTGGACTGGGAGAGAGAAAATGTGCGGTCTGTGAAGGGTGAAAGTATATTGTTCATAAACCAAGATATACACTTTAAGTATGGTGAATGGTTGACATACACTGGGGTAAGTTTTCATTTACTTTTATCCTCTTCATCACTGATCAGCTCGTTGGCTGCTTGGGCGATCGGTCCCTCTGTCACGCACTGTTGGCAAGTACTGGGCATGCAACTGGCTCCCTGAACCTGCTCGTTCTTCAGAAAGAGCTCACACTGTGACTTCTCAGGATGTTTCAAGAGTTCACAACTCTCAACACCGAAAGTTGCCCTCACGGTTTTCTGGACTTATGCTTCTTCCAATCTTGAGCTGTGACCTGTGGGGCGAGCCCCGCCAGCTCCAAGTAAGGACACTAACTGAGTAGTGCCCTGAGATGCTTATAATCTAGGTCACACCTGTCTGCGTGTAGAAGATAGGCAAGTTCAGGCCTCCCAATCTCTCAGGTAGTTGAGGTGCTAAGCAGGCACCAGTGGCCTCTCCTGAACATTTTCAACCAACTGACAGTCCCTAGCATATCTCGGACCAGACGGGTGACAGTACTCCAGATGGGGAAGCACTTCACTCTTGAAGATCGTTACGAGGACGGACTGTCTAGATATATGAACCGACCTTCTACGGTCTGACTAATTACCCAAATAAATCCCAAATGTGCCTAAATAGTCAAATAATGGTCCTACATGAATAAATCGGACTGCCAATCACTTCTGACTAGTATTTGGTGTCACAAAGTCACAAAAATTGGAAAACTTACTTTAATCTGAGTTAATAGATCATGAAGTCAAACGATGGTCGCATTTAGCCGCAATCGGGTTAGAATCACTTTCTATTAGATATTGATAGTTTGTAAACTTAATTTAATCTGAGTTGTGTTAGGTTAGGTTAGGTACATGCACTTGATCTATTAACTCAGATTAAATTAAGTTTACCAATTTTTTGTGACTTCGTGACACCAAATACCAGTCGAGAAGTGATTGGCAGTCCGATTTATTCATGTAGGACCATTATTTGACTTCATTGTGGCTACATTTGGGTACATTTGGGTAATTAGTCGGACCCCCTTCTTATAAGACCCAATAATTTATTTGCCTGATTTACCTTCTTCTCGCAATGGCCCGAGAACTTCAGCTTATTGTCAACATACACTTCTAGGTCCTTCTCACATTCAGTCTCAAATAGTGCAGTTTCTTCATCCCGTTGGGACATATGATACGCCTCCTTACCATTGGTACGTCCCAGCCATTTCTTCGACCATTCTTGGTGCTCACAGAGATCCTTCTGCAACTCTTAACAGTCCGCATGGTTCTTGATTTCTCGAAATAACTTGGCGTCATCCGCAAACATTTGTGTGGAGGAGTGTACAACGTCAGGCATGTCATTTATGAAACAAACAAACAGCGGGCCCAATACACTGCCCTGTGGTATCCCGCTTGTGACAGATACAGATGATTTTGTGCCGTTATTCACCACACACTGGTTGCGGTCATTTAGAAAGTCTTTAAGTCTACGCTAGGATATTTCCCCGAATTCCGTACCCTTTCTGCTCGATTTTCAGTTTTTCATGGGGTACACTGTCGAAAGCCTTAAATCTAGGTGTATATTGTCGATATTACCACCCCATTCCAGAATATGGGTCCAAATATCCAATACTTTGAGCAATTGTGTTAAGCAGGAGCGCCACGGCATAAAACAGTGTTGGCAATCCTTTACAAGGTTGTTTCGTAGTAGATGTTCCATCATGGCATCTCTGATAATACTCTCAAATACTTTACATATTATGCTGGTCAGGCTCACCGGTCTATAGTTGTTTGTGGGGTGACGATCACCCTTCTTGAAGATAGGACTCACATAAGCCATTTTCAAATCACTGGGGACCCTTTGTTCATCCAGGCATTTACAGAACAGGATCTTCAGGGGCTCAGAAAGCTTGTTGCACAACTCTCTTAGCACTCTGGGATGCACCATGTCAGGGCCGGGAATCTTGTGGACCTTTAGCTTTGACAGTTTATTTCTTATACCCTCTTCTGTGAACACAACGTGGGTCAGTGCTGTGTCGAACCGTCTGTCCTCAAACGCAGGAAGGTTAATCGCATCCTCTCTTGTGGACACAGAGGAAAATAAACTGTTCAATGCCTCAGCTTTATCCTGGTCAGAATCTGCGTAACTACCATCCACCAGCTTCAGGTCTGATACTCCTACTCTCGTTTTTAATTTCGACTTTGCATAGCGGTAAAACGCCTTTGGGTTTGACTTGACCTCGCTTGCAACCAGCCTCTGGAACTCCTTTTCAGCCCTACTACACACTGCCTTTGCTTGGTTTCTGGCTCTTGCATACATCCTCCTGTCCTGCTCATCATTTGACCTAACCCACATCTTGAATTTCTGGGTTTTCTTCTTAACTTTGTCGACCGCCGCGTGGTTCATGTGTAAGGATCCCCTCATATTCCTAGAGGCACTGGGTTTGGTCTTGGGTATATACTTATCAATCAAATGGGTCACTTTAGTAGTTATGATATTCAGCATAGTGTCTGCGTTCTTGTGCCTTTGTGAGTCAGGCCAATGAATACCCCTCATCTCTTCCCTTGTCCCTTTGTAATTTCCCTTGTAATATTTGCACCTTGGCCTGGCTTTATCATGAACTAGGTAACAGTTAAATATGAATGACAACATTACATGGTGACTGGTGCCAACTGGGGCTAGATGTTTCAGTTTAGCCACCATACCCTCCTCATTTGTTATGATGAGGTCTAGTGGCTTGGGTGTTTGCTCCCCTCTGTAATGTGTTGGGTCTTTAACATGTTGGAACAGAAAATTATCCCTCAGAGTTTCTACAAAAGAGTAGCAGGTTTATTCATGTCATTTGGGGTGAACTCGTTTCTCCAGTCGTCGCCATAGAGTCCCCCATGATAAGGAGGTGGCTAGGGTTGAGCATCGCTGCGTTGTCTATTAAGGCTCTTAAGTTCCTTTGATTTAGTGGGCCACAGTTTGGGGATCTGTCGATACACCCGACAATAAGTTAGTCCCCTCCCCTAAATTTAATTTTACACCACTTAATTTTGCATCCTCTCCCCATACCCTCGCCTGGCTGGCTCTAAGGTCTTGCCTAGCATAAATAACCACACCCCTCTTCAAGTTTCTTGAGAAAGGTTCATAAATGAGTCATATCCAGCAATTCTGAACTCGCATTCCTCTGGGTCGATTCACCTGTTCTTGTACAACAGTTCTACAACTCCTACAATATCGGGTTGGTGTACCTTCAGTAGTGCTTCAAACTCCTCTCTCTTATCAAGGAACGTGTCAGTATTAGTGTACAGGTACATGACATTCAAGCCAGAATTTGTTCTCGGTAACTTCTCTCCTCGTAGTAGTAACTCCGGACCCCCCTCCATTTGCTAAGTACACTACACTGTATTTTGCAGAGCTTGGTTAGAAATGTCATTGTTTACAAGGCGCTTGCCTCCTCCTGTCTGGTAGGCGGAGCTGGTGCCACCTCCCGAGTGGAGGGTGCGCTGCGGCCCCCTGGTTCTGTGTCGGCACATGTGTTTCACCCCCCCCTGAATATAACCCATGTACACCTGTCCCGTTCCTCCTTGATTTCTCCCTCTTCTGCTTCAAGCCCTGCAGGAGCTTCTTGTGCTGTTCCCTCTGCATTACCTTGCGATCTGGGTGAATGAAAACATTCCGAAATGCCTCACACCTTGCTAAGTTTTTTGTCTGCCGAATAACCTCCCATTTCTCCTCACTCACTAGTGTGATCCTGAGGGGGCAAGGCTTGTCCCCCTTCTTTTGTCCCAGTCTCCTCACGTCCTGAGGGGTTGATGGCATATTCAGTACCTCTTTACAAATATTCTTAAACTGCATCTTATCAAGTGTTATCCTAGTTTCAGTTCCCTCCGCCTGGCTCTCAGGGATTCCAAAAACTATTACATTGTTCCTGCACTGGAAACGTTCCCACTGTTCCTCCTCTCCCCTAACAGTAGGTCCACTAATTGTCATTTCTTCGACACACTTCTTCAGAGTCCCTAGCTGTTGTAGAACCTGTTATGATCCTGCATTACTCTCCGCCACCTTCCGTGGCCCTGTTAAGGCCTGAGCATAACTCCTCTTTGCTACCGCCTCCACTCTATTGGCTACTTCCTAAGTCTTAGCAAAGATCTCTTTCCCAACTTGTTAAAGTTTAGCAACCAGCAAGGATCCAGCTTCATCTATTTTCGTCCCTAGGGAACTTGTTCACCTATGGCTTGCAATCATCTCTTTCACCTTGACTATGCTGTGAGGGCAATACCAGCAACAGCTTTCGTGCTTTACGGCAACTTGTATCGTCCTAAACTCTGTATTGGTCAGGTCTGTACCGTCTACTTCCGTCGTCACCCTGCAGTAATCACATGTCAACAGATTTCCTGGTGCCGCTTCAGCCCCAGGTTTCATACCCCTCATGGTTGTTGCTGTTGCGGAGGAGGGGGGGGGGTGCAGGCTGTTATCTTCTGATTTCCATTTTTTCCGGTTCTTCTCGACTAGTTGTTGGTATCTATGTGATATCCCTATGTACACTGTATCTTGCTATGAATGACGGATCATATGCCCACTCGGTCCTTTAGAAACACTTTTAATTGTCGGTTTAATAATAGTAATAATATTGATCCTTCTAATTACTGTGATGATTTCTTTTAATCTGTGTCCTGGTAGCAGGGCCTTAGCGTCAAGGTCCCTTTAAAAGCCCCGTTCCGCTGCCTGGGTACAGGTCGCTGTCACGAGTGTCATCCACCTGGCTAGCACAATTTATTTCATCTGAGCAAGAGATATACCTCTCAGTGGGATGACTTCCTTAATAATCACTTTTTGCCGTTACAGTGGTCCCTCGGTTAACGAACACAATTCGTTCCAGAAGGTCGTTCGTTAACCGAAACCATTGTTTCAATGGGATTTTGGGTAATTGGTTCCAGCTCACCGAAAATTACATACAAACTAAAAGTAAATGCAGGAAAGTATACTTACTTTGAGGTGTGCATGTAGAAGGCTCCTGGTTGATGATGATGATGATGGGAATTAGAATGGGGCTGGAGGAGAAGGGA